TGCCTTGCCTAAATCTGCGTTTGACCCTTTCTTGGGAGCTTTACAACCTGGAGGATGAAATGAGAAGCTTGTCTCAAGGCTTTTGCAGTGTACTGCTTGTTCTCAGGGAGTCAAAGGCCAGCAGATAATAAATGAAATGAATTGAACAGCCTAAGAGGCTGCGGTCGTCAAAAGCATATTTACTGCAGGCTTGAAACCAAGCACTGTGATTACTGAAGTTTTATATTTGCAGACAGATCCAGTTTAGCCCCTGTGAAATGCACCACTAAAACCAATGCCAATCCTCCTGAGATTATCAACCATTCCATGATCTCGGTTCATTTAGCAAATCTAACCATTAAAGGATAAATGCACTTCAAACAGGTTTTTTCCTTTTTTCTTTTTCTTTTTTTCCCCCCCACAGCATCTGAGCAATTACATTTCTCCTCCTGTTGTTCCTACCTCATTGTGTAAGGGACCACTCTTTGTTTTCCCCCAAACTGAGATCTAGAACAACTCAGTTAAATTTTAGCCCTCGGGGGGCTGGTCTAGAGACCATTTGCTTTAGGCTGGTTTTGCTATTTCCAAACTCTTCAGCAGCCCCTCTACCTCTGTGTGCTTTCTGAGCCTGTCCAAAACTGCTTTAAATGTGCTTTTGAGGGCTTGGTGTCTTCATCTGCACGTGTGCTCACGTGTGAGGGAGCTGGGGCTGTCATTTCATCAGGAACTGTAGTGACAGGACAAGGGGGATGGATTCAAACTGAAGGAGTACTTTTAGATTGGATATTGGGAAGAAATTCTTCCCTGGGAGGGTGGGGAGGCCCTGACACAGGTTGCCCCACCCCTGGAAGTGTTCAAGGTCAGGTTGGATGGGGCTTGGAGCAACCTGGGCTAGTGGAAGGTGTCCCTGCCCGTGGCAGGGGGTGGGATGAGATGAGCTTTAAGGTCCCTTCCAACCCCAGCCAGTCTGGCATTCTATGAATGCTTTATTACCTTTGTTATAGCTTTTATTTTTCTGTCTTACCACTTTTTCTCCCTGAAAAGCCCCCAGTGCACGTGACTGTGTGCCAATCATTGGCTCACCTCAGCAAACTCAGAGTTCTGAGAAATCCTGGAGCATTTATTGCCAGCTCCTCTTTCCCCACAGGACAGGACATTGGCTCTGTGGGGACTGTGCTGCTGGAATTAGCTGGGAGCAGTTTGGGGAGATATCAAAGGGATCTCTAGTTGTCTTTTTCTGCAGCATCATTTTAGGAACAAAAAACCCCTCCCAGAACAAACTAATTTTGCCCTGAGCACAATCTTTCCAGCTGAGGGACCTGACTTGGTGATTTTAAAGCTGGACAAAGAGAACTATCATTGGACCTGGGAGATTAAGGACCAACAAAAGCTCCTATAATACCTTGAAAAACACCTTTCTGGAAGTATTGTCACTAAGAGGTCTCATTTTTGCTTCTCTCTTTTCTTTTTTGTTTTTTTTTTTGGTTTGGTTTTTTTTTACTGTTCTTGCTAAGACGGTGCCTTTAATTTTAATATTGGTTCTCCACTAAAAGACGTGGGAATAAATTTGCCTGTCAGCCTCTAGAGTTTGCTCAAGAAGAATCATCTTTGCAGGATTTTGAGCAGTGGCTGAGTCCAACATTCCTGTAAACCTTGGGAGAGCAACCTGCCCTTCTGGGATCTTTACTGCACCCCACTATTGTGTCCAGCCCTGCTCTGGTGGGAGTAACTTGAGACTGTATTGGCTCAGTCTCCAGCTTCTAAAAAATGAACTGTTCTCCTTTTTCCACTGCTAAAGGAGCAGCATTCCAGTAGCTGTCAGCAGCTGCCTCTGCTTTCTCTTGCCAGGGTTGAGAAGTGGGTGTGGGAGGTGTAGCCCCCGAACCAGCACCAGATCCTCGCCTCCCTCTCCTTTGCATCCCTGCTGTAAACTGAACACAGGGAGAGAGGCTCCAGCATCATCTGAATTACAAAATCATTCTATTGTCAAGCCTTGAAGTGTCACATTCTCTTTCAAAACCCAAGGCTGTGATATTCACTGAAGAACAGGGCAGTTTCAAAGTCAGGGAGGGCTATTCTTAGCACTTCAGTCAAAAAAGGAGGGGGGAAAAAAATGTCTTTGGGGGAGGGGGGGGGGAAACTACAACAATTTTACCAAAATGAACCTTGTCAGAAATGATCAATTCACCCTCCATTCAGGCTGACCTGGTCCTTGCTGCGTGCCAGAGGACAGAATTTGTTGACATGGCACAATAAATTAAGATTGCCAGATCTCCTTGTAATTAATTGTCTTGCAGCCCAGGTTTGGCAAAGAATAATTTAAAGTGATTAAATCACTGGTAGTTTGGTTTTGGGTTCTTTTTTTGTTGTGTTTTTTTTTTTTTTTTTCCTTTTTAAGGAATGTTTCTCCTCAGTTAGTTGAAGAATAGATGCTGATGAGTAACAGCCACCTCCCAGTCCTTTATTTGTGCTATTTAAATACCTCTTCCTGCTAGACCAGTGCCTCCTCAGCAGTCAAGAGACAAAGACATTATAAGAGTTATGATTCTTAAATTAAATAGAAATTCTAAAGCAATTGTCCTAATACATACTCAACAAACTACTCTTCAATTAAACAAGAAAAAGAATTTACTGGGTTTCTAGAGTGCTAACTGAACATCTGTGTTGTTTCAGAGCTGTGTCTTCTAAATTCTGTCTATAAGGAGCTTCTGCTGGTGGATTCTTCATATTCAAGGGCTGAGAGTGCAAAGAGCTTTTTCCAACTGCTTGAAAAAGCCACGTAAAATTATTTATACCTTTAATTGGATGGGGCCAGGGGATGTTTCTGAGGATGGGATTCATTGGGGGATGATGCTGGAGCAAGTCTGCTGTCCAAGCAGATCCTTGACACCCCTGTGTGCATCCTGACCATCCCCAGAGGGACTGTCATTAATGTGCTTCTCTCTTTCCTTCTCTTTAGTATTCATGCAGTGATGATCATGTGAAAATTACTCACACTTCTGACTTGAGAAAACTTTCTTAGCCGAGAAATCCAACCAATATCAGAGGGAATTAGAAATTCAAATGGGGGGAAATTATACACTGTGTGTGTCAATACAGCAAACCTCATAAAGGCTGCAATCAATCACATTGGCATCAAAGGTGCTGGTACTTTTCCCTGTCACCAAGTCCAACGAATAAAGGAAAAGGTTAATCAGGAGAAGAAACCTTGGTTTGCTGCCTGGAGAGAGGCAAAAGCACAGAGCTGGAGTGAGTTCTGGAGCTTCTTTGGTTGTGATCCGTGCTCCTGCACAAATCTGGGCTGCAGAGAAGGTTCTGTCTGTGTTTGTGCTGATTCAGTAGAAGAGCTTTCTCTCAATCTTCATTTCTTGCAATGGGCTATTGCACAGTGTCCCCTCAAACTCTGCCTGAGCTTCCCAGTGCTTCCCATGCTTTGACACCTCCCCTGTTCCTGCTGCAGGTTAAATCCCAATTCCTTCTGCCTGGGTGCAGCCTCACATTAGGGAGCTCACTCTGCAAATCAACTCATTAAATGAACGTAATGATCCGTCCTGGTCTCCCACTGTCCAGCTGCTGATGGAACAGCATGTGGTGCAGAGTGGACCTTCACAATGATATCTTGATATTTTTTTTAATCTTTATTATGCTGTATGACTGATCCAAACAGCAGCTCTCCCTCAAGGACACCTCCCCTGTTTCACATGAGCAGTGTCAGACCTCGGGCAGGGACGTGTAAAACCCAGCAGTGACTTGCAGAGGCTGCAAGTGATCCCTGCACGATCCTGTCTCCCTGCTCCTCTCCTTTTGTTGTTTTGACTGCCAAATGGTGTGGTTTTGTAGGTCTTGTATCTCAGCTCTCTGCTGTCAACTCCCTGAGATGCAAGAAGTAGGCATGGCCCAGATGCTCGCCTGGAGCAGAAATAGCACAGCTTTCTACTACTCTTCCCCATCAGGTCCCCTGAGCCGTGGATTTCTGGCAGACAGCATTCCATGGGGAGCAAAAGAACCTCAGGCCTTCAGTTTGCAGTTGTTGTAAAATACCCAATTCTGGTTTTGGTGTAATTTAGCAGATTGAAAGGGAGATATAATAAATCTCTGAGCGACTCAGGAAGCTTTTACTGGTTCAAAACGGTTCAGATTTTTGGAATATTCAGTAATCCCCTCACATTTCCAGGGGCTTTCGTGTCCTCCCAGTGTCACAGCTACAGCTTTGAGGGGTATGTGTGCTGATAAGTGCATGTTTGCATGTTGCTGGATGGGTGTTTTCAAAACTACAAGAGGAATGAAGCAGCCAGGAGGATAAACAGCTCCTGGTGATGATTTAAGACTTTCTGTGTACATATACATATTATTTTCAGACAGGGGTGTAGGAAAGGTGAGCAATAAGAGCCCCAGTGCTTCTGATGCTGAAAATACACCAGTTCAGCGTGTGCAAAAAATGAGGTTGTGTCTGTACAGTGAAACAGGAGCCAGGCCTAAAACAGTTAACTGAGGTATCTTGGCCAGTTAAGAAACCCCAACACCTGTTTTGCTAGAAAAACCTTTTAGGAGCACTGGTTAATATCATGTTCTGTTCTGCTCACTGGACCAAAGGCCTTATTATAGAAAGAATAGGAGTAGCACACACACAGAGTAATAAATTAGGTAAACTAGGTGTTTGAATAAGATCTAGAAGGCCCAGAGCCAGGATTTTGCAAGCTTGAAGAATTCAGGTCACCTCATTGAAGAGGTCAAATTGAGGAAGACGTCCATGGCAACCACCAGAGGGATGAAGGCTTGAGGAGAAGACCCCCACAGTAGAAGATTGCACATGTCTGGAAAGACTCTGCCCAGAGACCAGCCTGCTTATTAATATGTCTAATAAATGATGTAACCATGGATCTAAAGTGTATAAAATGGCTTAGTTTTGCACTTGCAAGTCAAGCAAGTTTGTCCAGGGTGAGCTGGCTTGCTCCCAACGTTGGATAAACAAATACCTTGCTGCTTAAAGATAAAACCCCCCATCTCTGAGCAGTCTTTTGGGCTGATTTTTCGGATCCAACAGGTGTGGGTTTAGGTGCAGGGAGTGCTCAGAACCATGCCTGGTGTCTCCCCAGCCCGTGGTGACCCCCCCAGGAGCTGAGCTCGCCGAGGATGACTTACCTTCTGTGCTCTCCTCTTGTCAGCTCGCTGGTTCTGGTGGTAAATCCGGCTGAAGTTGGAAACAATGACTGGCACGGGCAGAGCAATGACCAGCACCCCACTCAGGGAGCAGATGGAGCCAAAGATCTTCCCAGCGATTGTCTTGGGCACCATGTCACCATAACTAGGGGGAAAAAAACAAAAACAAAAACAAAAAAAGGGAAGCCCCTCCTTCAGACAAAAAAAAAAGCCTTCTCGGGTTTTTTTCGGAGCGCGCAGCGAACGGAGTGTCCACGTTGGACACTAAAAGCTTAGAAATCCACCATGCAAGGGATAATTTGTGGTGCTGTCGCCCTGAAACAACCACTGACAACCACACTTCGACTGGGGATGGGGCTAAACTAAAGAAAAGCACTTTTGTTGCTGGTTCAGGCAGCTGCTGAGTATTTAAATTCCTGTCCTCGCTCGTTCGGTGCCCACCTCTCCACGCAGATGAGCCCTGGCAAACCTTAAACTCTGTCATATATTTTCATTCCCCTGTATCCAGGTGCAAATGAAGACTGATTTACACTTCCATTTCAAAGCCCAGCAGTTGCCTGGCCATCTGCACAGTGAGAAATTTGGGGGTTGTTCAGAGTCTGTGCTCAGTGAAAGGTGAATCCTCAGGGACACGAGACCAGCTGAAAAATGTTCAGAAAAACCTCTGCACTGGGTTTGACCCAACAATCTTCATTTGTAATCTGAGTTACAGAATAGGGACCTGGACCTGCTGGAGCAGGTTCAGAGGGGGTCACAGAGATGCTCAGCCCCTCAGCTCTGGAGAAAACCTGACAATGGAAATCTGGAGAAGCCCCTATTTGCTGTTTGGAATTTCTGTGGTGTTCTCTGAGATGTTCTAGTGTTTGATGCAGGAAATATTGAAAAGCAAAATGCTTTTTTACAGCTGAGGCTTTATTTTTACCTTTGATGTCAGCATATGACCAGCAAAGAGCTTTGATGGGGAACAGAGTTGAGCCGAGAATAATTGACATCCAAGAGGAAAAACAAATATTTCAAAGTACCTTTTTTTATCAACTGAACTTCTTGCCCCCATCCAAGAACTTGTTGGTCTGAGGGTCTGAATAAAAGCAGAAGTCATTACGTGTTAAATACTTCAGACTTCATTACCTAAGGCTTATTTATCCCAAGCACAATCCTTCTCCACCTTCACCCACGTTAAAACCCTCAGAGTACCTCAAATTGATAATTGCTCTTCATGTCTATTAACTTTTTAGCTTCTGCTTTATGCAAAGGTAGTTTCAAAGCTCTTTGCTAAGTGGCAAGGTCTTCTACCTCATTTAACACTGGTCTAAAAAAAATAAAATCCTACTTTTCTCCTGCCAGCCCTTAACACAATAAGGCTGCAAATTAATCATGTGCCTCAAACATGATCTCAGTGACCCAGAGCACGGAGAGAAAGCCCTTCTGTGCATTTGGAGGAAGTATAATAATAAGTGTCTGGCTCACAGTCTGTCTTGTGGAGTTTTGTTCTCCCATGCAGACTGAGAGTTATCTCATTACTTGGGGCTTCAGAGGAGGTGCTTTCAAACACCATCAAAGATCAAACTCCTGGAGCAAGGGAAGGTTTTGCCTGGGAGATGGAGAACTTCACTTGCAAAACTATCATGAGGGAGACTGGAATGAGGAACTTGGCTCTGGCTGGAGCAAACTGCACAGAAGCAAGACCTAAACCTTGTCACTCTGACTCGTGGATGTCCCACAGAGTCACCCATGGGGAGGACTCTGCTGGATTCTCCTCAGGGCTGGAATGGCACCTCAGGCCCTTGGGATGGGTTGGCTGACCTAGGCTGGAAATGTCAGAGCTGATGTTTGGGAATATCACAATAAAACCCAGCTGGAGCTTGATCCAGATCTCTTTGCACTTCATGAGAGGCCTCCTTTTGACTTTGGCAGGGTCTGGAATGAACCTATAAAGTTGCAATTGTTCTGCTCCCCTATTGACACACACACAGCTCCTGCAATATTAATTGCTGGAGTGACTATTTCTGTCCTGATGGTACCATAAGGTACTAATGGCCCCATGGCATATTTATAACAGGTACAGTGCCAAATAAACTCAGCTATTGGATTTCAGTTAGCACTAATTAGGTATTTCAAACCCCAAAAACTTCTTTTCCCCAGGCTGGAATGAGAGGGCTCAACTTTCCCATTAATTTGTTTAGTAAAAAGGCAAGTTGTCATCTAAAAAACTTCTACTGAAAAGTGCATTTTAAGTAATTCATCAATAATCTCATTAGAGAAGCAAGAAGATAGAGGAGTTGGGTAATGATTAACATTCAGGGGGTCTAACAGGATGTTTGAGCCTGCAAGAAAACAACAGGAGGCTGCAAATTCAGTAGGCTTTTAATGTGACCTCTAGTAAATCATTTCAACTTTCTGCACCTCAGTTCCCCACTTAAGAAAAAGGGCAATAAATTACTTATTCTTTGCCTGGTTGGTTAAGTAGGTGTTGGTTCTTCAGAGCAGGAGCTGCCCCATATTCTGAATATACCCAGTGGTGACTCCTTAGTGCTGCTGCCTCACAAATATTAATAATGCAGAGCAGTTGTAGGGAAATCTGGGATAAACACAGCCTGCACGTGGCTCCAGGCTCATTCCCTGGGACAGGCTGAGGGTCCAGAGCATCAGCTGGAGCTGAGCATCAGCCCAGACGTGGAACATGCCTAGAGAAAAACACACTCTCTGCTTATTTGGCCAGGAATCCAGTTAGATGGCAACAGATCCAGCTGGTTTGCAGTTGCTGAATTCAATGGGAGTGGAAGGTTCCTCGCCCATGGCAGGGGGTGGAATGAGATGATCTTAAAAGTCCCTTTGAACCTGAACCATTTTAGGATTCATTGCTCTGCTCTCTGGCTGTGCCAGGTGAGATGCACCCAGACAGCCCTGGGGGGTTTTGTGCTCAAAAAAAAATAAAAAAAGGTTACTTTTAGTTGTTTTTAAATTAAAAATTTAAAATTAAATTTTAAATTAAGTTAAAAATTAAATGAAATTTAAAAAAATTAAATTAAATTTAATTAATTAAAAAATCGGTCACTCTTCAGACTGCAAAACATTGGATGCAGAATTTCAACAAGTTTGTTGGGTTTTTTTTCTTTTTAATTTGTAGTGTGACTTCTACGTTCTTTGGATATTAAAAGGGGGTCATATGTCACTCGCCCTAATTAGCAGCTATTAGTCTTGACAACATAATGTGCTGTTGTTTGTCTCCCTGTCAGCAGAGAAGGTGTTATCAAATAGAGGTCACTGCTTCCAAGTCCTGGTTTTAGCCACAGAGGTGTCTGGACGTTGCTCAGGTCCCCAGCTGGAGACAGCAATAAATAAGGTGCTGAACAGCTCATCAAATGACTCACTCTAAAAATAGCCTCTCGCAGCATCTCTGGTGATCCTGTGTCTCTGTGCAACATTCACAGCCCTAGAAATAGGGAATTGCAGGAAAACAGCTGGAATACCCCGTGCTGCAGGGCCATGGGAAGGTGGAATGGCAAGGACAGCTCTGGGGGGACAGTGAGGCAGCTTTACAGAGGATGCTTTTTGGTACCACCTCTTCTGCCTGGGGAAGGCAGAGCTGGGGAGGGACTTCTGCATCATAAAGGATCACCATTTGTCTGCTGGTGTCTCCCTGGGTTCCACTGGATGCAGAGGAGGCAACAGTGCCACTGAAAATTGCTGAGCCTGTGCAGAATTCTAGAATGGTTTGGGTTGGAAGGGACCTTAAAAATCATCTCAACCCACCCCCTGCCACGGGCAGGGACACCTTCCACTAGCCGCTCAGAGCTTCATCCAACTGACCCTTGGGCACTTCCAGGGATCCAGGGGCAGCCACAGCTTCTCTGGGCAACCTGTGCCAGGGCCTCCCCACCCTCACAGGGAACAATTTCTTCCCAATATCCCATCTAACCCTGCCCTCTGGCAGTGGGAAGCCATTCCCCCTTGGCCTGTCCCTCCATCCCTTGTCCCAAGTCCCTCTCCAGCTCTCCTGGAGCCCCTTTAGGCCCTGGAAGGGGCTCTCAGGTCTCCCTGGAGCCTTCTCTTCTCCAGGTGAACATCCCCAATTCCCTCAGCCTGGCTCCACGGGCTTGGTCTTTGGACTCCTTCCAACAGCTCCTCATCTTTCTGGTGTTGGGGATCCCACAGAGCTGGAGGCAGCACTGCAGGTGAGGTCTCACCAGAGCAGAGTAGAGGGGACAGCACCTTCCTTCTTACCAGCAAACCTGGTTTTGGACATCATTCAACACCCGTCCCTGCTCTGCAGAGCTGCCTCGAGGGAGGGAGGGAGGGAGGTGAGGCCCCCACAGAGCTCAGCACATCCAGGTGCCCCCAGGTGACTTGGTTTGGGTCACAGAGCCACCACAAGGACTCAGGGGACACCCAAGTTGTGCATCCACACCCCAGGATGGTGCTTTTCCTGATTGCCACATTTAACTGCTCAAGGGCCACCAGGCCTGGTGGTGAAAAACTGTGGTTTTCACACTCCCAGAGCCTCTGAAAGCTGAAATATCTGATGGAGCTGGAAACAGAAACAATGCTCCTTCCCCTGATTTAGTATTTCTGCCTCATCCTGGCATTAACAGCTCTGGGAGAGCTGCTTTATCTCCCTAACCTTTTGCCCAGCACGGTAGAGTCAAAAGAAGATTTCACTCCAGCCTGTAAGTGTCTGCTTTTAGGACAATAAGGACAGAATAATAACATTATGTACTTTACAATAGACCATGATTTTGAAAGCCTTTTGCATGAAAGGGCTGGAATAAAGCATGGAATTAGCATGTAGCTTTCCAGGTGCAAGAGATCCTTTTCTATACTGTAAGTAAATCACGGGGCAATGTTGGGATTTGCACAAAGGAGAGGGAAAAATGGCTAAAATTCATCAAGAACGTTTCAGTTGCACTGGCAGACTGCGTGTGTTGTATCTGACAGCTCAGAGGAGCTCCTGTCCCTCCATTTCATAGGTGCAAGTCCAATATAATCTTGTTAATGCTGCTTTGAACCCCCAGTGAAATAATGATCGTGTCACTTGTAATGATCCAAAGGAAACCAACCCAAGCATTACTCATTCCTTTTGCACATGACAAATGAGCAGGGAATTAACAGCTCTGCTATGAGGGCTGGGGGTAGTTAGGTCTTTTG